GTGGGGAGGTGGGGTAGGGTTCGCATGAGGCCTCTTAAGTCTGGGGAAGCATAGTCTGGGGACGATGTTATGACTATTCCTGACTCTTTTGAAATATGTTTGACTATGTAAAACCGCTTCCCAAAACCTGCCTGTAGAAGACATGCCCGACCTAAGAGTAGATGGGGTCGACGGATCGCGCCGCATCGCCGATCCATCGCCGTCGGCGCGGCGAAAATCGGGCTCCGCATCGAACCGCATCGCCGATGCATCGGCGATGCGGAGCGATCATCCGACCCCATCTGCTCCGACCCCAGCTAGGAGGCCTATAGTCTAGAGCAGAAGGCTCAGCAAAAGGCGCTGAGGCCAAGCATACAGTGGAGGCCAGTCCACAAGAAACCTTCCACAAGAAACCCAATCCTCAGGGCGTCCATTGATTTTTGGTGTGGGCACGTTGCGCTTCCCATCGCAAAACAAGCGTCGAAACCAGAGAAACCCAGGGCACCCTGGAGGCAAGCAGGGTGTCCCTTGGCATGGGCCTCCGCTCTTACTCCACCGCCCGGGGAGCCAGTGCCCTGGGATCCCAGGGGGCAGTAGATGTGGGCATGCTTGGTCGCCCTGGGGCCCGCCGGGGCAGCAGGAGGAGGAGGAGGAGGAGGAGGAGGGAGAGGAGGAGGAGGAGGAGGAGGGAGAGGACGGGCGAGGAGGAGGAGAGGCGGAGGAGAGGTAGAGGAGGAGGGAGAGGAGGAGGGAGAGGAGGAGGGAGGAGAGAGGAGCAGGGTGTTTCTTGGCATGGGCCTCCACTGTAGAGCAGAAGGCTCAGCAAAAGGCGCTGGAGCCAAGCAGAAGGCGCTGCGCCGCGGCCTCGGAGATCCTGCACCGGCTGGCTTCGCAGCTCCGGCTGGCGCCGGCTGGCGCCGAGCCCCCGACACAGGCAGGGGAGAGGAGCTCGAGGGGAGGAGCGAGGAGGGGCACGATCGGGAGGGGAGGCCGCCGAGGGGGGGGGGAGCTGCTCCAGGAGGAAGGTAGGCAGGAGGGAGGGGAGAGCCAGGAAGGGCAGAGGGAGAGGGAGCGGGAAGAGGAGTAGCAGGAGGATGTGGGGAGGGAGAAGGGGGGGGGAGCGAGGAGGAGGAGGATGATGAAGGAGGAGAGCGTCGGCGGGCGCCGGCGGCCCCGGCTGCGCGCGGCGGCGGCCGGAGGCGGCCACGGCCTCGTCGCTTCGGCTGTCTGCGTCGCGCGGGGGCTCCCGGCCCGGGGCTGCCGCAGGGGCGCGAGGAGTGCTTCGGCGGCGTCTTCGGCCCGTGCCGGCGTCGGCTCGGCCCCTGCCGCGCCGGCCCCTTCGGCTTCGTCCCCGGCGGCGGCTCCGTGTCGCCCCTCACCCCGCGCGTGCGCGCGTCCCCCCACCGCAGCCGCCATGCCCCCTCCCCGCCCCGCGAACGATGCATGGGGGTACTAGTACTCTGCGCACATTTGTTTCCAGCTTCCCGCTTCCATTGCGGAGAGCGCCCTCTGGCAAGACGAGCGCCCCGTTCAGGCGAGAGCCCTGCCGGGAGAAGGGATCGCCAGCCTCCTCACAGGGACTCAACAGGCAAGATCTTAAAGATCAAAAAGGGGGTCTACCATTCGAGGGCCATCTGACCATAGGACCGTAAAGAGGTAGGCGCAGAAGATCCAATGTCGAAAAAGAGACTCCATCACATCCCCGGGACGACCCATGATCCTTCTGCTGGTCCAAAGCGTTGCCCTAACATTGTTTATGAACCCATTATACCACGTAGCCAACCAATGTGAGTCATATTCTAGTGGTCCCATCCTGACCGCAAACAAGAACAATGCAAAGTCAACGTTATTCGTGTCAACATGGAAGGGCGATTTTTGGGCGACGCTGCACTATGAAAGGCAGACGTGGGACGCAGCGCACATCGCTCGCGAAAGGTCGAAACTTCGCCCTCCCTCAACGCCGCGTCCTTTCTCATGAAAGTCGCGCTCCCGCTGGGGCGCAGCAGACGCGCTTCGCCCGCCAATTCGCCAGTGCGGGGCGCCAGTGCGGGGCCATGCGTCCGCTGCCCATGTGCAGCTCTGGCCCGAGCGCCTCGCAGACTTCGACTGGAAGTGGAGCTCCCGCTCGAGCGCGGCGCGAATGTTTCGCTCGCCCGGTCGTTGGAAGCGGGGCCGTGCGCGAGTGGGCGAGATGTTGCTCTCGCCCAAGCGCCGTATCGGTTTCGCCCGAAAGGCGTTCCTCCTTTGGCGCGGCGCGTGTTCTGCGCTCGCCGGGTCGTCGGACGCACAAGCGAGGGCGGGCGCGAGCGGGCGAGACGCGGCTCTCGCACGAGCTCCGTGCAGAGTTCGCCCGCCAGTGGCGCTCACGCCTCTCGTGGGCGTACGATTTGGCGTCGCCACTCCCATCGGTCACGTGGCCCGCGGGCGAGGCGGCCGAATCGCGGTCCGCTCGCCGAAGCGCCGCGCAGAGATTGCCTCAGGGTTGCGCTCCCGCCCGTGCGCGGCCGCCCGCGAGCGGGCTGAGCGGTGCTCTCGCTGGAGCGCCGCGCATGGACGTCTGTGAGATTTACTCTCTCGCCTCTGCGCGGCCAGCGTCTTCCCCTCGCAAAGTCGTCGGAAGCGGGGCCGCGCTCGCGCGCGCCAGCGCCTTCAGTTCGCTAGGTGGAGCGCGTACGTGTCCACGTATCCAGGTCTGCCTGCATTGGTTCTTGGGTGGTGGGAGGGAGGGTGGAAATGGGCAGGACTTGCTGTCTCTTTCGGACTGGCTTGCTCCACTCCTGCTTCTACTCAAGCTCCTGCCATTACCCTGTCTGTTTTGGCTGCTTTAGTTCGCCACGCGCTCCAGCTCTGATCGCATTCACCCCAATAGCGGCCCAAAACGGGGCCTTCCCGTCAAGCCAAAAATGAAAGGCTTGGTTTCGGCGTTCCGTGCGAACGCTTGAGTCCGACGTCGCCAACTGTGCGGCACGAGCGGGGCGCGGCGCACACCGCATGTGAAAGCAAGGAGAGAAGGAGAGATGGAGGAGAGGAGAACGAGGAGGAGAGAAGGGAGTATCACCTATCATTGCTGCGATGGCTGCCCTGGATCTTTCGGCTGCCTCCCTATGCTAGGTGAGGCCGCATGCGCCAGTCGGTTTTGCTGGCTGGCCACTGGGCGCCGGCGAACAGCGCCGGCCAGAGTCCATCCCCTCGCCCTCCTCCTGGTCTATTGGAATCGCCCTGAGGTCTCTGGACGCCCCCTGAATACCCCAAGAAAGGCCAATGACGTCCAAGACCCTCACCATCTCGGCCCTTCGTCCTCCTCCCCCGATGTCGTCTTCCTCCTCGTCCTCGTCCTCGTCCTCGTCCTCCTCCTCGTCCTCCTCCTCCTCCTCCTCCTTATCCTCCTCCTCCTCCTCCTCCTTCCCCGTAGTCTTCCTCCCCCGTTGCCATCCTCCCCTGTCGTCCTCCTCCTATGCCTCCCCTTTCTGCGTTTCGTCCTCCTCCCTCGGCATTAGGGAAAGGGAGGGGTCCTGGTGGAAATGGTTACTGGACGAGGGTTTTTTTCTGAGCCCCGAGCCATCCGTTGATGGTCCTGGGGCCCAGGAAAGGCCGAAAACGCCGACCAACAACTCCGACCTGATCTCTCCAGGACCCGTCCTTATTTCTAACGATCCTTGCCCCCACCCTCCCTCGACGAACGACCATCTCCATGCAATCTACCCAACCACAGCCCCGGGACCGACACTTCATCCTAAATCGTGTATTGGTTGTTCTGGGGCCCGGTGAACCAGTCCCCAGAAGCCGAAACCTGTTGAAGCACGCCCGTCGTGTTTTTTGTCTCGATAAAAAGGGCGTCTGGGTCCTCCTCATCCTCCTTCGCGCCTCCCCCCCTCTGGGGCGGGGGGAGGGCGGCGCGGAGGAGGAACAGGCCTTCCGATTCCATGCGAGCTCGATACGATCGAATCCGACTCCCGATTCGAACCGGTCTCCCAGGGTGCCGCTTCGATCCGCCTCGATGCAACCCTCCCGAGTCACGACTCCGACTCTGACTTCGAGTTCGCCCGATCCGACTCCTGCCGACGCGATGTTTCAGCCAACGCTTGCCAAGGGCTCCCAAATTCGCGCTTCGCGCTGCGCGAAGCGCGAGTAACTTCGCGCTCTTTCGCCGCCTCCCAGGAAAGAAGAGGAGGATGAGGAGGAATCGGAGCCGAAGCGCGAAGCGCGAATAACTTCGCGCCCTCGAGGGCGCCCTCTGCGGCTTGCCGATTTCTTCCGATCCGGCTTCGCTCCAGGGCAGCAGGGGGGACCCCCCCCATCCACGACGGCGACGGCGGCGCTCTCTGGCAGCCACGCCGACGGCGGCGGCGACATCGCCACGACGCCGACGGGGGAGGCGAGGCTGGCAGCAGGCCTCGACCCCCGACTCGGAGGGATCCCACCCGAGGAATATGCGGGAGGAGGGAGAGACTGAGGACGGGGGAGGAGAGGCGGCGACGACGCCAGCCGCCCCCCCCCCCCCGAAGGCCCCCCCGAGGAGCTCCCGACGTCCCCGCACGGGCCCCCGAGGGGCCTGCAGACCCCCTCCCCTCGGGGGGGGGGGTCTGCAACCTCCTCCTCTTCCTCCTCCTCCTCCCTCCTATCTCCTCCCTTCTCCCCCTCACTCTCCTCCTCCCTCCCTCCTCCTCTCCTCGTCCTCCTCCTCCTCCTCCTCCCCTCCATCTTCCTCCTCCTCCTCCTCCTCCTCCTCCTCCTCCTCCTCCTCCTCCTCCTCCTCCTCCTCACTCCTCCTCCTCCTCCTCCCCTCCTCCTCCTCCTCCTCCTCCTCCTCCTCCTCCTCCTCGCTCCTCCGCTCTCCTCCTCCTCCTTCCTCCTCCTCCTCCTCCTCCTCCTCCTCCCTCCTCGCTCCTCCTCCTCCTCCTCCTCCTCCTCCTCCTCCTCCTCCTCCTCCTCCTCCTCCTCCTCCTCCTCCTCCTCCTCCTACTCCTCCTCCTCCTCCTCCTCCTCCTCCTCTCCTCCTCCTCCTCCCTCCTCCTCCTCCTCCTTCCTCCCTCCTCCTCCTCTCCTCCCCTCCTCCTCCTCCCTCCTCCTCCTCCCTCCCCCCCCTTCCTCCTCCCCCCCCCTCTCTCCTCCTCCTCCTCTCCTCTTCCTCCTCCTCCTCCTCCTCCTCCTCCTCCTTCCTCCTCCTCCTCTCCGCCTCCGCCTCCTCCTCCTCCTCCTCCTCCTCCTCCTGCCTCCTCCTCCCTCCTCATCCTCCTCCTCCTCTCCTCCTCCTCCTCCTCCTCCTCCTCCTCCTCCTCCTCCTCCTCCTCCTCCTCCCTCCTCCTCCTCCCCTCCTCCTCCTCCTCCTCCTCCTCCTCCTCCTGCCTCCTCGCCTCCTCCCTCCTCATCCTCCCCTCCTCCTCCTCCTCCTCCTCCTCTCCTCCCGCCGCCTCCTCCCCCCTCCTCCCTCCTCCTCCTCCTGCGCCTCCCTCCTCCTCCTCCTCCTCCTCCTCCTCACTCTTCCTCCTCCTCCTCCTCCCTCCTCCTCCTCCTCCTCTCCTCCCTCCTCCTCCTCTCCTCCTCCCTCCTCCTCCTCCTCCTCCTCCTCCTCCTCCTCCTCCTCCTCCTCCTCCTCCTCCTCCTCCTCCTCCCCCATGCGCCAATTGAGGAGGCGAAAGAAAAAAAGAGCAGCACAAGAAAAGAGGGAAGATGAAAACTAGGGATCCCATCCACACTGCTGGCCTCACTCGCGCTGCTCCAGCCCACGTGCTTCTCATAGCCGCGCAGCTCGCAACCCAGCGCTCCCTTGATCTGGATGCCAGAATTGTGCTGCGGCTCGGCGCCGGGGCTCTGCACTTAGTCGTGGTGATCGCCGTCGCACTGCTCGGACGGGTCGTGCTGCTCGGCGTCGTGCCGCTGCTGCCCGTCGTACTGCTCTGAGTCGGAGCGCTGGAGCCCGTCGTGCTGCCCAGCGTCGTGATGTTGGTATCTGCGAGGCCTCGCAGACCCTTTTGATAGACACGCATGTGCTGCTATATATATATATATATATATATATATATATATATACTGCTGATCGCCATCGCACTGTTGGAATTGGCGCTGCCCACATTCGAGCCGCCGATGCCCGACGTGTTGCTGAGCATGGTGCTGTTGCAGCCCGTCGCACTGCACAATGTCGCGGTGCTGGTAATTACCCGTCGTACGCCAGACTCCTCGATATTGAAGTCGCGAATGCTGTCCGGCTGCTGCGCTGCGGTGCTTTGAGAAAACGACGCCTTCTGAGAACCCGGATGACGCCACACACGCGCGCACCTTGGATGTGGGGACGTTACCCTGGCCGGAGGCTCCCACAGCTTGCGTGCACGAGAATGTGAGGGCACGATAGTTTGCACCACATAGCGCCAAGGTCTGTCCAGGTACCCCGAGGACCACAATTGTTGACGGAGCTATCTCTCACATGGCATGCGGAGACATGGCTAGCGGTGGAAAGGCCGTCGCCTTCCTCCTCCTCCTCCTCCTCCTCCTCGGCCTCCTCCTCCTCCTCATCATCATCCTCCTCCATCTCCTCCTCCATCTCCTCCTCTTCCTCCTCCTCATCCTCCCCATCCTCCCCCACTTCTCTCCTTGCCTCGCCACTCCCAATGACATTCGCGAGCCTCTGTTCCTCCGAGAGCGCGTGCGCCGCTCAGTTTCTGGCGGACGAGCTCTTCGACAGGCACCCGAAGAAGGAGCTGAGGAAGCCTTGCCTGGCGGAGAACGCGATGGGGGAGGAGGAGGATGAGGATGAGGATGAGGATGAGGATGATGATGATGATGATGATGATGATGATGAGGAGGAGGAGGAGCAGGAGGAGGAGGCGGAGCAGGAGGAGGAGGAGGAGGAGGTGGACTGGATGCACATCCAGATTCAGGGCCTCGCGGCCTGAACGCCCAGGCTGCCACCCTATGGACACAGGGCGTCCTTGCGCGGGCGCTCCCCGCGGGATCGCGTGTCCATGGGACCGCGCCCTAGCATCCAGACCGCGAGGGGCATGGACATGCGCGTGCCCTTCTCGTGAAAAGAAGAAGAAGAAGAAGGGAGAAATAGAGAGAAATAGGGAGAGAGAGAGAGAGAGGGAGGGGGAGGGGGAGGGGGAGAGGAAGGGAGACATGTACAGAGATATCGATAGAGAGAGGGAGAAAGAGAGAGAGAGAGAGAGAAAGAAAGAAAGAGAGACAAACAAAAGAGAGTCAGAGCAAGGATTCGCAGCAACTGCGCGGGGGGCATGACTGAAAGGATCGACGTCGCCCGTGGTCACAGGAAGCGACAGCGGGCGGAGAGCACGCGAGTCTGGTATTGAGGGAGCACAATCTTGCGGGACTGGCCCTCCTCCCCCTCCTCCTCCTCCTCCCTCCTCCTCCTCTAACCTTCCTCCTCCTCCTCCTCCTCCTCCTCCTCCTCCTCCTCCTCCCTCCTCCTCCTCCTCCCCCTCCTCCTCCTCCTCCTCCTCCTCCTCCTCCTCGACTCCTCCGCCTCCTCCTCCTACCTCCTCCCTCCTCCTCCTCCTCCTCCTCCCCCACCTCCCCCTCCTCCCTCCTCCTCCCTCCTCTCCTCCTTTCTCCCTCCTCCTCCTCCTCCTCCTCTCCTCCCTCCTCCTCCTCCCCCTCACCCATCCTCCTCCCCTGTCGTCCTCGCCCTCACTCCTCCTCCTCCTCCTCCTCCTCCTCCTCCTCCTCCTCCTCCTCCTCCTCCTCCTCCTCCTCTTTCTCCCTCAGGAGGGGAGGCATCGAGCTGGAATCGGCGGTACATCGCCGACAGATCGGCGAACCGCTGGCGACACCGCACGTTCCTCGGCGTGGTGGGCTATCAGCCATCAGACCCCCGTCGGCGATGAATGGGCGACGGGGGGTCGATGCATTCCTCCCTGGTGAAATCCCTTATGAATTGCGGGTCATAGCTCGGGCCTCCAGCGGCAGTTCGGGGCGACCTGGGCACCCCTGGACCACTCTCGACGCGGCGCAGCTGGAAGGCATCCCGAGGCCGGGAAGCCGACGCGAACCAACGAACGCGTCCGAAAAACTGAAACCTCGAACCTCGAAGCTTCGTTCCCCCTGGGCCTGTCCCCACTCGATCGTTGCTCCCAAGGGTTCCCCCCCTCTCTCAGGAGCCATTTTCCGTGCCCCCGTATCCAGCCGACGCCTGCGAACTCCAAACAAAACGTCGACCACAGTATCCTCGATATGCCGAAGGCCGC